CCGCGTGATTCATCCTTTCACTGTCACCTTCTCAGTGAAGCCTTCTGGAACTCTCTCCAGCTCCACTTCACCCGGGAGGCAGAGCGAACCACTGCCTGCTCTGACTTTACCAAGGTATTACTTTATAATAACTTGTGACCTGTCACTCTCTCCACTTGCTTTCTGAAGACGCACACTGACTTGTTCCCTTTGCATCCTACGTATCTAACCAGATAGCAGGAATGGAGATGGATGGAATGAGGTGAAATCACGGAAACAAAGACTCCAATATACAATGTTTAGAATAGGCCTTTTTTTCCCTCAAATTCTTTGCCCAATTGTTTATACGCAATAAAAGCAATAGATGCACATTAGTGACATTAGAACATACGGAACATGCTATTAGAAAAGCTCTTTCCTCTGTTTTATGTACAAGTCTCTAGACTGTAACAGTGACAAAGTTCTTCTTTTTCGGTTGCGTCTTTGAAAATCAAAGTGAGAATGGTCTGAGATGACTCACTGCCAGTATCTCATACAGCAATCCTTTCTTCGCCTGAGGTCTATAATTATAAAGTAACTGGTCTGGGGAGGCAATAATACTCATTGTAGCCATGAATACACTTAGAAGATGGACTAAGTGTTTTAGTTCTTAGATCTTAAGGGATTCTGGGCACCAAACTTTTGATTTTCAATCACACTTGGCATATGGTTTCCTAACTCATACTGGGTGCCACTGGGTGCTACTTCACAGACCCATTTTCCTTCCGTGTTGTGGTCTCACTCAGAGGATCAGATCAACAGGACTCGGGGCAGCAGGACTACAAGAAAAGCCCCTCTAGACATATCTAACTTCAGTCAGGACAGGGGTTTACCTTCCCATGTTCAGGTGTCCTGGAGGGGTACTGCTTTGTTTGGGGACACCACCTGTGATTAGAGAACAAGATCACTCCTGACTTGATTGTAAAGCAGTTTAAAATATTCGCTCCGTGGGTACCAGTGACTAACTTCCACACGGTATCAGCACAGGAGTCAGGCATCTGGCAAACACGGAAAGAATACCATGGGTCAGGCAGGAGCTTAGGTGCTGGTGATGCAAAGATGAGCAAGACCCAAGTGGCCAACCTGGGGAAGGTGTTGAGTGTGCAAACAATCCCCACAGAACTCAAGCGCTGCAGCTGCTGTGGGAACAAAATGTTATGAGCGCACACAGAGGAGGCAGTGACTAATTCTGCCTGAGGACAGTCATCACCGTGTGTGGGGTGACGGACAGCAGTAGGAGGTAAAACGAGAAACAGCCAGCTTAAGGGCCCCCAGTCCACTTGCCATTAGTCACATTTCCCTTGGGCAAGTGCACATACTTCCAAGGCTCCAACAACCACCCCCACAATCCACAACTTCCATATCTGAAATCTTGGTCCCATCTCTCAATCTCAGGCACATGTCCTAATCTACCTCTGAACATCTATCTCTGTATGTCTTACCTCCCCAGACTTCTTCCTTTATTTCCATCCTCAGTTTTCCATGTCCAAACTACAATCTCACTGTCATCCTCTATGCCTCTATCCCTCACCTCCAAGTGGCCACCTAGTCCTGTCAATCCCACTTCCAAAATCCCTCTCAAAATGCCATTCTTCTCTGTCCTTCCATTCCCTCTGTCCAGGCCTGCATCTTCCCACACTCTCAACTACTACGACGACAGCCACGAAACTAGTCTGTCTACTCCAAATTCTATTCCTTCTCATTCACTCCTCATGATGGATGCACAGCACTATGGGTACTGCAGCAAACAAGACTTAAAAAGCAAGTGCATGCTTTCTGTTCATCCCCTCTGGCCAATTTCTTTTTTAAAATGAATCTGACCATGGCACACGCCAGCCTCAAGTCTTCAGTAGCCTCTCACAACCTACACAACAAACTCCTAGCATAGCCTGCTGCAGAGGCTATTCAGCATCTGGCAAGTCTACCCTTCCGGCCTCTCGCCCTGCCCTCCAGGCACACTGCTGTTCTTAAAACTGCATGTCTCTTCAGGCTTTGCCTTGGCAAATGTGACTTCCTGTACCTGGAGCATTCCTGCCTCATCTCCCTCTTGGGAATTCCTACCCCAGGGATTCTGAGTTCCCATGCCCAAACAATCATGGCACTCATCACATGGTACAGGAGTTATGTTGAGAAGTCCCCCACCTGGCTGTGAGTTCCTTAAAGGACAGGAACTGTACCACATGGGAGTCTACCTTCATAGCTGGTACTCAGTAAGTCCTGATCCGAGTGAAAGCAAGGAAGAAGTAGACCCATCTAGAAAGGCTAAGAGCAAAGGTCAGGAAAATTGGGAGAGGGAGCTCAAACTTTGCCTGATGGTCTGTCCAAGTACTTATTGTGTGAAGTACTTTGGTACTTCTCTGCTCTCTGAGAACAGAGCTTCCTTTAGAGGCATGTTTCCTAACGGACATCTTTAACACCATGAGGCAGGGAGCAGGACCCTCCCTTCTCAGTCTTTTTGATATTTCTGATTTGGCTGGAGAAACACAAAAAACAGATGTGGTGATTATTCTCACTTTAAATTCATGACCACTAAGTCCAAGTGGGTCCTTGATGCTAACTGGCAGCTCTACATTTCTCTTGCTCACTCACTAGACTAATTCATGTCTTTTCTCTCTCTTCACACTCATGTTGCTTAGTTGAGCCTTCATCCTAATTCGCTGAGAAAACAGCCAAAAGACCTTCCCCAAGTTCCCACCACGCCTACTCAAGTCATACTCATTTCTGTTGCCATTCACAGTTACTAGGGAGAGAGAGCGCTCCTAACTTAAGCTAACCTCTCTCCGCTTCAGCAATAGATTCCACTCCTTCCTGCTTACTAAAATCACTCCAGTAATTATATCTTATCTCCTGCTTCACCAATTCCCCACCCACTAGACCATTTCCACCAGCTTACAAACATGACCTAATTCCTCTTACAAAAAGAAAAATCTGAAACCCCCAAAACTCTCCCCATTTCAGCTACCACTCCATACCTCCCCCTTCTAGGAAAACTTCCAGTTGTCTTAATCCACTATCTCCAGTTCCTCACCTCCCATTTTCCCTGACCCTGTGCTGATCAGACGTTCATCCTTACTGGCCCTAAAAACTGTTCTTCTCAAGTTCACCAAAAAGCTCTGTTACTTAAACAGCATTACACAGTTGAACATTCCCACCCCCTGAACACCTTCTTCATTTGGCTTCCGAGATATCATTCTCTTTTGGATTTGCTCTGACCTCCGTAATCATTCCTTCTCAGTCTCTTTTGCCTGGTTCCTTCCCCAACTTCTTGAACATTTGGGTGCCCCATAGCTTAGTCCTTTTCATCAACACACAAGGTCTCCTGGCTTCAAATACTATCTAGATTTATACCTACAATGCAGGGAGACTCTGAACTCCAGACTTAAACATCCAACTCTCTCTTCAACATGTCCACTTAGATATCTAATAAGCACATCAAAACCTAATATGCCTAAAGATAGACCCCTGCAACCATCGCCCGCCCCCAGTCTGTTCTTCCCATGCTTCTCCATTTAAGAAAATTTGGAACTCCCATTCTTCAAGTTGTTCAGGCCAAAATGATTTGTCTTTATCTCACATTCCACACATCTGACACCAAATCCAGTCTGCCCTGCCTTAAAATATAACTGGAATCCAATTGCCTCTTTGCAGTACTGTTACCACCCTGCTCCAATTCATGGCAACTCATCATTGCAGTAACCTCCTGACACTTTCGACTTTCAACATATCAGCCACAGTCACCTTTCCATTATTTAAATCCACCATGGACTAAAGGCCTAGACAATTAAGCTATTCCCTACCTTCTCACCTCTCGTCCTTCCATTCTCCCCCTTGCTCACTCTGCTCCAGCCACAATAGTTTTCCTCCTGTTCCCTGAACACACTGTCCACCTTATGGCCTTTTGCACTCGGTCTTTCCTCTGCCTTGGAGATTCTTCTCCTGGTTACCTACATGGTTTCATTACCTCATTTTCTTCTGGTTTTTGTTCCAATGTCACCCTCTTAGTGAGGCCTGTCATGACTACCGTATTTATAACTGCCATCTCCCTCAATCGCTCATCCTTGAGTTTTCTCCATCACATTCATTACTACCTAATACACTGTTTACTTATTTTATATTGTTTATTATTTATCGCTACTAGAGTCCCGTGAGAGCAGAGATTTTTTTAATTTGTTCTGTTTGGTGCTGTATCCTCAGGGCCAAGAACAGTACCGGCATACAGAAGTTGCTCAAACGGTTATTTGTTGAATGAATAAAATGAGAAATTCTCAATTTGCTGCTAGAATGTCTTCAATACTCAACACCTGCTAACCTTTTTAGGGCTCAGCACCTTAGCTAGTAGAAGCATCAAGTCAGAATTTAGTAACAGTGAACTGAAGTGTTTGGCTTTCATCTCGTTGTATGATTACTTTTTATTTAAGATACTGGGTCTCTACATGTTTTAAGTTTAAAAAGTGACTTTCTTCTAAGAAAAACGTTAAGAAATTATATGGGACTAGAAGAGAGACACGGTAAAATTAGTGTAAGTGGTACTGAAAGAATTTTAGGAACTCTTAGGGTAGGTCTACCAGAGAAAATACAGGACACCAGTTAAATTTTAACTGTAAATAATAATTTCTTTTTCTAGTGTATGTCCCCAGTACTGCGTAGGACACACACTAAAACAGTATTCGTTATCTGAAATCCTATTTTAAATGAGCACCCCACCCCCCACTAAATCTGGTAACCCTATCTTAGGCGAACAAAGAAATTACACCCTGCTCCTTGTCGCATCCATTTCGATCAGAACAAGCTGGTAGAACTCTTGTCCTATCTACAGACTTCGTGGCTGTGGAAGAGTACTGAGGCCTGACCCTAAAAATCAAAGAAGCAAAGCCCTCTCTAGGAGGCGAAAGGCCCCGTGGCATCAGACTGCAGGGAAGGGGGGTCCGGGCCCAGCTCCCTTGCTCAGCTTCTCAGACTAGCAGCCACTTTCCGGCCCTTACCAATATTTCCTTCGATGGAGAGCCTTCGAGGCCCGCACTCCGCGTGCAAGCCCCTGGAGGGGCACACGCCACGGACTGCGCTCCGAGCCATGGAGCTGGAAGGTGCTCGCAACAGCCTTCGAAGGAGCCGGCCCGCAGTCATTCCACCCACAACTTGCGCAGCTACCACTTCCGCCGCGAACATTTCCACCCTCGGTACAGCCGTTCCAGCGCTCGCGCGCGCCTATGACGTCAGGAGATCGCCGGGCAAGAAGTGGGTGGGGTAGAGCAGGCTGGGGGTGGGGCCAAAGGGGCGGCTCTGTTCTCGCGAAGTTTGTGCAGAAGCTAAGCTAGATGGAAAGACCTCCGGTGCCGGGTGGGGTGCGGGAGAATTAGTAATTGCATCTGTCACGGCGGCTTGGCCTCTAGGTGTTTGCCGAACAAGTAACATCGTAAAAGAGACATAAACTCACCAATCACATCACCTTTGCATTTTTGTGTAACTTTACAATAAGTCATAACTAAAGACAAATCAAAGTAACTGTAATTGCGAACGAGGCTTTTCCAGGTGTCTGTTGTCTGCCTTTTATTCTAATATGGGTAGCAACTGGACTATTTCAAGAAGGAAAATGACACGATCTGTTGATGTACACAAATTATCTTTTTCCCACTCAACCGTGACGCGCAACACAATGTTGGCACATTATCGAATTAATCAAATTAGTTCGGTACATTCCACCTCCTAGTTTGTCTTTTGAATGAATAAATAAGCGTTCGCCCGGTCGATTTGCATAGTAGCCAAAAATCCCATTAGGCTGAAGTGGGTGGAGGCTCAGGGTCCGAGTGGAACTCGTTTAAAACAGATAGATTAGGTTCTGTGGGCGTGAACAACGGCGGGGGTGAGGAGCTGGGCTGCCTTGGGGATGTGGGGTTTCCGAATGGGATTTGTCTCAAAGGCTGAGCAGAACCCGGGTAGAAACTCGCCGCTGTTTAAAACTGGAGTCCAGCCGTGGGTGGAGAGCTGTGCTCTGAGGAGAGGCAGGGTCGGTTCTGAGCTGTAGCCCCCGGGTGAGGCTCTGACTTGCTTTGACCTGCCATACCCCATTGTCATAACGACCTCAGAACTAACGCTTTATGAAATGTCAGAGGGTATTTCCACCTCCCACCGCTGAAACCAGAAGAGTCAAAGCAAGAGTCCAACAGTTACCGGCTTTCAGGCAGCACTGTTAGAGGTGGGAGGTTTTAGGAAACGGGGACGCAATTGCAAGGGGTTGGGCAGGGTTCCGTGGCTGGGACACCAGTCTTGCATAAAAAGCACAAGACTTTCTTCTTATACTGATGTTTATATGGGATGGTTGAAATGATGTTCATATATTAAACACATTTTAAAAAATATATGTTATAAATTTATTTAGGATAACCTGGATGAAGCACCAATGGATAGTGGAACAGTTAAAATCTGTCCCATCCTCTGCTCCCACTCTCACAGCCACCTCCGTGTCAAAATACTGCCTACATTTCTTATTATGTAAACTCAGATTTGGAAAATACTCATCTAAAAAAGTTTGAGAAAGGCTCTTGGCATTGGGAAAGCCTCTCTGCCTTTTCTGCCATCAGGGACATTTAAGGAGTAGTTAAGGGTGTGGGCTCCTGAGAGCGGGCAGTGACGGTTCAGAAATATAACCCACAAGCAGCACTTACCTCCTGTCACAAAGCTACCATCCAATGTGCTTTCCATAATCAGTAATGGCTGCCTTCAGCTTGACACTCGGTTCCCAGGACATTACTGCTGTTTATCTTTAGTTGACTCTCTGGTGTACTTCCTCTCTCCTCAGACCACTGTAACACACCCATGTCCTCCTCACTATCGGCATATGACCTGACTTCCAATGACTTCAAGAACAGCATTTCTTTCTTTCTTTCTTTCTTTTTTTTTAAGATTTTATTTATTTACTTGAGAGAGAGAGAGAGAAAGAGAGGGGGAGAAGGCCAGGGGGAGAAGCAGAGTCCGGGTGGAGCTGGGAGCCCGATGCAGGACTCGATCCTGAGACTCCAAGATCATGACCTGAGCCGAAGGCAGTTGCTTAACAAACTGAGCCATCCAGGTGTCCCAAGGACAGCACTTCTTGAAGTGGGGCAAGACTGGGTGGGGGCAGGGTGAGGAACAACAGGTCAGCCTCCTCACCTTCCCCCACATGGAGACTCTGATGCATCCCTCTACAGTAGGGATTTGTCAGTGCTCCACATTTCCCCCCATCCTCCACATTCCCCCCCCATCCACAGCGCGCGCGCGCGTGTGTGTGTGTGTGTGTGTGTGTGTGTGTGTGTGTGTGGCTGCCCTCTGGCCTCCTCCCCATGCTTTCTCTCCCAACAGCCAGTGCCCGCAGCTCTTCTTTGCAAGACTACCCTTGGCCTCCTGGAGCCCTTTCCCAGTCCCTGTGGAAAGTCCCTGGGACTTTACCTTCCCTCAGAGTGCACCTTCCCCAATTACTGATAGGCCAGGGCGAAAGCCCAGTTGCATCCAGGCAGGCTTTTACACCAGAGATGCCTGGGGACCCAGGTAAGCCATCCTCTGTGGAACTCCGTCTGAGAGGTTCCCTGCTGGGCTTCTTCCCCATTCTTGTCCTGCATCTCCTACTCTGCTCACTGGTTTCCCCAACAAGCACTTTGTTAAATCACTTGCCTGCGTGTCCTCACTTCAGGGTCTGCTTTTGGGAAACCTGTCTTAGACATAAGTCCACTAGGGAGTTTTGTAAAACATGCTTCTCCACCCCACCTTGGAGGGCAAGTGCAGGGATGGCAGAGGAAGCTTGTCTTGATGTTGAGGTCTGTGTACTTCCACTGTTTCCAAATAGATGTGTCTGGGAAGGCTCACAGCCAAGTGGGATCTGCTCAGGAGCATCAAGGATGGGACGTGAGTGGGTAGAGATAGTGAAGGGTACACCAGGCAAAAGTGGGAATCTAGTTCTGCTATTAACTAGCTGGGTTGAACACATTACCTCATAAACTAGCTATAAAATGGGAATGATACTAGTACCTGCTAATAGGGTTATGGTGAGGAAGTCCATGGAAAGCTCTTAACCTAGGGCCTTGCATAGTATAAGCACTCGACCAATGCTATTATTATTACCCTTAAAAAAAGATTTATTTATTTATTTGACAGAGAGAGAGAGAAATCACAAGTAGGCAGAGAGGCAGGCAGAGAGCAAGGAGGAAGCAGGCTCCCTGCTGAGCAGAGAGCCCGATGTGGGGCTCGATCCCAGGACCCTGAGATCATGACCCAAGCCAAAGGCAGAGGCTTTAACCCACTGAGCCACCCAGGCGCCCCTACCCTTTGTTTTCTTGTTGTATTTTATGGGTGCTTCTATTTCACCTTAAATCGTTGTCATGTATGTGCCCCCCCTTTTATGCAATGATACTTTGATGGGCAGGAATCATCTTTGCTGGATACATAAGTCCCATGTGGCCTTACCCAGTAATAACAGATGCCCCAAATTCAGTAAATACTTGTGACATTTTAACAGAATTGACTAAGGGCAGGGAGTGGGGAACAAATAACAAAGAGGGAAAGAGACTGAGAGAGAGAGAGAAGGAGGAGAAGAAGGGAGGAGGAGAAGAAGAGGAGGAAGAAGGGGAAAAGGAGAACAAGAACAAGATGGGGAGAGGGAGAAGAAGAAGAGGAAGGAGGAGGAGGAGAGGAGGTAAAGAAAAAAAATTCTTCCTAAGGGTGCTGCTCCTTTCTTGGTTAGTTTTGAGGCAAAATACAGCCTAATCCTCAATAACAAAGGCCTCATAGAGATCTTAAGCCCATTATGACCTTCCACCACCCAAATTCAAACATTGTGCTTCAAACATCTTATGTCATAGCCTATAAATCTTGTGTTTCCCCTTCCGGGTTATGTTCTGTGTGTTGCCCTTGAGTACAAGGACTCACACCTCTGAAAGTCCTTGTTTCTTTACCTGCCATCAAGAGTCATCTAGCCCTCATTCTTACTCATGTTCAAGGAAAGGGAAACAAGGCAATACAGTAGGAGTACTAGCTTTAGAGTCAGACACACTTGGATTTTAATCTTGGTTCTCTTGTCTTTAGCAAGTTCTTAACTTCTCTGAGCCTCAGTTTCCTCATCTGTAATATGGGAATACATGCATCTCACAGGATCACTGTGTGGATGAGTAATAAGGTGTGAAAAGCCCTCAGCACTGTGTGAAAGTCCAGGAAGGGGGAAAACAAAAGCCCCACACGAGAAGTAAGGCTTTGCAGGTTTTAATGTTTCATGACGGGTAACAGAGCAGTCTCCAGGGGAACCCTAGAGAGTCTGTTCTGACTTTAGAAGCACTTCCTGTGGACAATGGAGGGCCCTGCCTCGTCATACTCGGGCTTGCTGATCCACATCTGCTGAAAGGTGGAGAGAGAAGCCAGGATGGAGCCTCCAATCCAGACCGAGTACTTCCGCTCTGGGGGAGCGATAATCTGCAAAGAATAAATGTGGTGAATCACGATTAGTGCCCAAGGGAATAGGGAACTGGTCCAGGAGATCCTCTCATCACAGTGCGGGGCTGCTCCAGATAAGGACCGCCTCCACGGTCAGAAACAAACAGGGTAAAACCTTGGGGTAGATTAGATTGTTGCTCAAATCTTTATTCCGGCCCTCAGTCCTCCCCCCATGGGAAGGGCACACTGTTTTGCTTTGTGACTTTGGGGCTGGGCTCTGTATTTGCTTTGAGGGATGGGACATTGGCAGACGTGACAGAAACAGGAACTTGAAATGTGCCTCAGGCAGGAAACTGTGCTTCTGCCTTGATGAGAAGGGCTTCCCTTAGGAGGCTACTGGCCCTTCAGCCTGGGCCCCAGCAGGAGAGCTCTGGACCTGACCCAAGCTGGCCAGCCCGGCAGAGCTGCCAAACCAGGCCTGACTTAGACCGCTCACTCCCAGCTGACCTGCAGTTGCACACGAGATAAACACTTATGGTTATGTCCCTGAGATTTCACAGTTCCTTGCTCCTCGGCAATAGATGACCAAGACAAACATCGACAGGGACAGCACCTCTCTGTTCTTGCCTGGAGTTTGGCTGTATGGGCAGCTGAGGCTGAGCTTCTGCCAATCCTGAGTCGGCTAGAGCACTCAGACCCTGTCTTGAGTCTCATCTGTTGATAGCCACTGGTAGCTGACAAGTTCTCAAGTTCAGTGACGCGTGGTGCATCCCTGCCACTGGGAGTCC